TTGATGATCTTTTTAGTGCCCTGCCCCATCAAAGTCATAAAGTGCCCTATTTAGAGTAGAATACGTTCATAAAAAGGCAAGAGCCTCCCTATTATATAACTTTTATAGGTCTAATACTGAAAAACCTTATAGTTCCAGACAGGCTTTCCTCTTCCCCTCATTGCCCTTTGTTGGAATGGAGAGTATCCTTGTGTCGTAATAACAATGTACAATATGTTAATTGTTGTGCTGGGAGCTTTAGTGAGCGAGGCAGATCAATGAAGCCCTGTTTTTGCTGACACAGAGGGCACCAGCCTCTTTGATTTTTCTCTTTGCTGTGTCGTCCTGCTTGTCACATGTGACCCTATGAGATTTCATAGTGCCTGAGAATCCTGTCTTCATCTGACCCGCTTTGCTTCATGAACCCGTTTGCCTAAGACAAATGTTCTTTATACCCATAATCCCCTGCTGTGACTGCTATGAGACATAAAGTATTACATAATAACAATGATAACAGTTCTCACTAATTAATGTTTCTGTGTCTGTAGATGTGGTCTGTTTTACTTTTACAGGGTTATTGACAAAAGGGTGACGAGTTTGGAGAAGGCAGGGGAAGTGAACAATCTAGGCCAACATAACTGAACTGGAAAGTGAGCTGAATTGGGAAATGTTTCCAGTTCAGCTATGTTGTCCTAGATTGTTCACTTATCCTGCCTTCTCCAAACTCTTCACACTTTTGTGAATGGCCCTGTTAGTGTTTGCTAAATCTCTCGAGGGTAGGGGTACGCTATCGTCTGGTCATTCCTTTATGCCTTAAATAGGTAGGTTCTTATGATAATCTTTAAAAGGTCAGTTTACTCGGAATTAATATTTCACTTTTTCTTAGAAACTGGAGAATTAAATTACCTTACACTTTCTTTTATTTCTTGAAGACTCTATTTGTAAGATCTCTGGTCTGATCTGGCATTCATGGGTCTGCACCCCTTCTGTGACCATTAATTACACTATCCCTGTTGGCTGTTTTATTGATAATATGATCGTAACATCAGGAACATGTAAAGGTGGACAGGATCATCCAACACTCCCATTTGGCCAGGAATTTTGCTGTAGAGATCTCACTTTTAAAGTTTTGATTACATAAGGGCTGACACATCCTCCCAGGCTGCACCTATAACTAAAAGATAACATTTAGATTAATTTACCCTGTAATAAACTTTTGAGGTTCCTTTATTGTTAAAGATTATATTCACCTCATAAGAATCTACTTGGATTTATATGTTGGTCTCCTATATTGCAAAAAAACAAGGGGACAAGAAAACAATGCATAGTTATAGTGTGAAAGAACTTCAGCACCTCTATTCAATGGAATATGTGTATATAAACAACAAACCGTCAAGCAATTTGCCCATAGAAACCACTCGGAACACTTCATTTAAGATGCTAGGAGTTAGCAAGAGAGGAGGTTATGATCTTCTGACATTTTCAACAGCTTTCCCTGTGTGCTTTGATTTATTCACACAACCCAAAGCACATTGCTAGACTTCTACCTAAGCAACTGTAACTGTAAAGCAGTCTTTCTTAACCAGGGTGCCGTGGCACCATGGGGTTCCTTATGACTTCTCCAGGGGTGCCTCGAAATCTACACACAGTATCATGCCTTTCCATACTGCAGGTGGGCCATGGTGATGTAAAAGGGGACTCTGATGTGAAAGGGGGTTCTGATGTGAAAGAGGGTTCTGATGTGAAGCATGTTTACATTTTAGTGTCTTGAGAGTTTGCATACTTACATAAGAACTGAAGTTCTGCTGTAAGGTATTATAGAATATATGAAAACCACATGAACAGGTAAGGCTGGCAAAATACAAAGCAGGCACACCTACAGGGAGCTGGCAGGCTTATAAATCTTTGACCAAGCATGCATGTTTATGCTATAGAGAGGACAAAAGGAGTCACTGTCAGATACCAACAAAAGTGGCTTATCAAGAGGAAACAACGGCAATTGTTCCAACCGAGATCGGGTGAGTATAACTTTGTTATTTTTGACCCTAGGCAAAAACAAGAACTTAAAGTGACATTAAACCCTCAGATTTTTTAACATAAACCAATACTGTAATGTGCGCCTTACTGTAATCCATGGTTGTTTCCCTTCTCTTTGCTGCTCTTCCTTTTAAATCCTCATGTCTTCTCATGCTGGGCAGAACTTCTGTTTTGCAGCAGACTGCCTTGTCTCTGAAATGGATACATGGTGTCTGTGTGCAGGTTCACAACCTGAGCCAGCACTACAGGAAGAGGCACTCAGCTGCAAAGGGAAGTTCTCCCCAAGCATGAGAAGAGATACAGATTTAAAAGGAAGAGCAGCAAAGAGAAGGGAAACTACCATGGATTACAGTAAGGCACACAATACAGTATTGGTTTATGTTAAAAAAAATCTGAGGGTTTAATGTCACTTTAACCCTTGCAGTGCGGGGGTAGACCTGTTGCAAAGGTTAATAACATTTTTACCCGGAGGTGTTCTTTAGGTTTCCAGCTTATTTTACACTTCAAAAGCTTGTATAGGTGGAAAAAAAATACCTTTTACAGTTTCATTTTTATGCTGTCTTGCTTTAAAAATATTACATTTTCAAGAAAGATGGAGATTGAACTGCACGGATTATAGGTCTTCACCCCTAAACCTATTACATATTTATTATTATTATAGTTCTCTCACTGTTGACGTATGTTCTCCTTTTCAGCGGTCATGATTAGTTCCCTCTGTGCATTGGATCTCTAAAAGTATCTTTCCTTTCAAGTCCAGCCAGAATTAAAGGAACATCTTTCCTTATTGAATGCAGAGAAATGGGCTCAGCTCTCTTGGCAGCGTAGTGAGAAGGGGTTGTTCTTACACGTGCTACAAAGAGAAATCCATGCCTGCTTCTTTTTTTTTTATTATTACATCTAGCACAAAAGCTTATCATAAGCCCCTTTATATTTCTGTCAAGGTAACATGAACCAAAACTATAAAGCTGGGCAGAGAAACTAAGGTATTTCTGTGTAATTCAAAGGATCGTATCGGCTCTGTATCACTGGCTCAGGGGCAAAGAATACAAAGAAGAACAATCGCTTATCTTGCTGATCAGAATAATAACATGCAGAGTTATATAATGACCCAGATCAACATGCAATGATAACAGTAGCATGCAGTGTGATATCATAATACACAGAAGTACATAATACGGTCAGTGCCTCTCATCTGAACCCAGATCCTTCTGACCCATTTTTCCAGACCATATTATATCTCCCCGGTGTCTGATGTGAAGACCTTTGTAAATGTCAGCTAGGTGAATACACTTTCTATTTGCTGTGTAAATTTTTGTGCTTTTGAACTGTTGTATTAACTGTACTTAATGTGTAATTTAAAGTGATCATGTTCTTTGCCATACAGGGCCAAGGAACAGGTTCTCTTAAATTCCTCCCACCCCAAGTGTACTTACATCCTTTCACTTCCCTGCTGCTCTTTGTAAAGAGAGAAAGTGCTATGTAAGCTCTGTGTCATGACTTGATGCCTACACAGGTCTGGGGACTCTCTCCATGTCCTCATGTGCCAATGGGGGCCTAGGCAGTCAATTGCCAAGCACCTGAGCTTTACCTTGGAGGAAGGGGAGTGATTCTTCCCATGCTGGGAAGTACTGGTATTTCTCTTTACTCTCAGCAGCCGGAATTAGCAGCGGGGAAGCAAAAAAATGTGCATCTGTGGAAGGTGGCAGTTAAAGTGGACCTTGCACTTCATGTAAAGTCCGCTTATTCAATATGGCTCCTCTTCCCCTTCTTTAAACTTGTCATGAAAGGGGTAAAAAAAAACCTGTGGGGGGAAAAGTTGTTAGATAATGCTAACCTTTCCCTGCCTTCCCGTATCCTCATCCTCCTGCCATCGAAATCGATGCAAATCTCGCAAGAAGACACTGCAGTACAGCGCAGAATAATCTTCTTGTAAAATAGGTGTTGTTTAACATTCTCCATGATCGGGCCGGAAGGAGGATGATGCCACCCTTGTCTAGGGACTGTGGAGGAAGCCACGGAAAAGGTAAGCATATTATTTAATGCCCCCCCCCCCAGGTTTTTTTTTGCACTTTAATGCTGCAGTTTTGGGCAGGGGTGGGCATCTTGAATAAAGAGAGCTTACTACTTATGTGCAAGGACCACATTGAGTGAACCTGTTGCCTTGTCCTGCATTGGCAAGGTACGCAAAATTTTGAAACCAATGCACACTGGCGCAAATACCGGTGTACTGGCACACAGTGTAAGATACGCCTGGGAACCCCAGCTGCTGTGGGTTTCTGTCCATAGGAATGAATGGACAAAAAACTTTGTATGTACACTAATCTATTAGCCTCACAAAAGCCTCTCAGGAGACATATAACCAAGTTATATTTTGCTCACTCCTGCCTCTGATTGTTAAATTATATATAATATTATACTAATGTCCTCCGGTGACTCAAAACTCAGCATACAGCAGGCTACTGTACGCTATGAGCGCAGAGCCGCGCTGCAGCCGGGACGGATCCCAACAATACTGTTGAGATCCACCCCGCTGGTTGATTGACTGCTGGCTCTGCCTCTAGTCAGTCAGGGCTGGAGAAACAGAGAGGGGAGGGGGAATCCCTGTGGGGAGTGGTGGCTGAAAGTCACCATTCTCTGCAGTGAGAGGATCGGGGAGTCGGTATGTGTTCGCTGACTTTCCGATCAATAAAGCCGACCTGTGACAGCTTCAGTGTTACAGGTCGGCTTGAATTATGGGGAGGAGTGTTTTTCACTCACCCCATTCTCACCCTAATTCTCCTTTAAGCAGAGTACTAGCAGGGGCACTTTAAGGCTGTGCTGCTTAAACCCTGTGCTAGGACTAGACCTAGAGGGTAAACACGCATCTTTATAGAATAGAAGTTGCAAACCAGTTAATTCACAAACTAGCCTCTTCATACACTGTTTAGCATGAACAATATCCTGCATACACTAATGATGTTGTTTCTCATTTTTGCTTTCAACAGAGACCTGAAAAACAATCTCATCAGTAGAATGGACCCAGGATCTTTTCTTGGACTTTCCCAGTTAAAACGCCTGTAAGTATCACATGTGAGAGAGCTACATCATAATATTCTTGCTTTTTTGCCCATTAAACCTCACATTCTTACTAAATCTCAACTGCATCCTAAACTTTTTTTAAAGAAGAACTCTGGGCAAACAAAATCTTAACCCTTGCATTGGGGCTACCCCCGCATTGCAAGGGTTAAGTGCTCATTTTGCCTAGAGAGCTAAAATAACTTCCTCAATATACTCACCCAAACCCTGATCCCGGCTCACCCCTAAATCGGTCCCTTCAGCCTGTCTCCTCCACTCCAGCGGTCTGAGGTCCTGTAAGTCATCATGTCCTATACAGTATATAGGTTGTGAGGACGTTGACGGAGTAGGAAAAGAGGCTGAAGGGGACCAGTTTAGGAGTCAGTCGGGTGTTTCGGGTGTGGTTGTGGTTCGGGTGAGTCTATCCCGGTTATTTTAGCTCCCTAGGCGAAATGGGCACTTAACCCATGCAATACAGGGGTAGCCCCAAAGCAATGGTTAAGATTGTGTTTGCCCGCAGTTCTGCTTTAAGCTTTGGGAAGAGTACAATTATGGGTTTTTATTTCTGTCTTTCACTCCATTGGGGAGATGTTTACTTAATTCCTTGTCCCTGTGACACCTATACAATAAATTGGGGGTGCAGAAGAAGGCACCTGAACCAATAAAAACATTGTTAGAAGTTCTAACCCTTACTGTACTAAATATGTGTTTATGACGTTGGAGAGGCCGGAGTTGGGTTTTAAAGAAAGTCAACGCCACCATAAAATGAAAAATGACCAAAAGGTCTCTTTCCTACCACTAGAAGTTCCTGACTGAATCTCTCTTCTCTTCCAGGGACATCTCCAACAACAGAATTGGCTGTGTGACTCCGGCTGCGTTTCAGGGTCTGAGCAGTCTAAGCCGCCTGTATGTATATATCAAACCCAACCAAGACTGTCCAAATACTTCCTTACCTGAGCTAAAATTGTCCCACACTGCATGACCTCAGTGACCACATGAAACATTTTCTAAATAACCTGTGTTGTCCAATACGGCGGTTCAGACTATTTCGGCGGCCATGTGGCACGAAACCACGCGTCCTGCAAAATAGTCCAATCACGATTTTAAGGGCAGATTCTGCACGTTATGGCTCTTGTAATAGCCGCAAACGCACGGAATCTGCGTGTATGTTACTGTTTGCACAGTTTCGTTCTACGCGGTTTTCCGGACGAAAAACTGCACGGAAATCGCTACCACTATGTGTGAATGGAGCCTGAAAGTGACTACAGCTGATTGTCTGCAGTCGCTGCTCGGCCAGGAATTTATGGACCGCCTCTGACTTTTGTCAAGTGGATGGTTTCACCAAGACTTGACCAGTATATGGCCAGCTTAACAATCATTTTCACCAGGACAAAAAGTAAGACAGACATACAACAAAAATAAAAACACTTCTCAGTGGAGCCGGGGAAGGCTGTTACCTCTTCTGTTGTTTTTTTTCTTTGTACTCTGTGTTGAGTTCACTGGGGAAGTTACCCCTTATTTCCTGTCCTAGCGACAATATTGCCACTCCATTTATTCCACGGAGAACAGAAAGAAGTGAAAACCTCAAAGATGATGTATTCGTTCTGCTATTGTTTCCAAAACTAAAAAAAAGTTACATTTTATGATAAATGTGAATACCCACCAAACCCAAGAAAAGGACCCCTTTGGATAGACATTCCACTGGTTGAGATTCACTGTGTTCTCATTTAGCTGACTGTGTATGGCATGGTTTTTTATAAGGGCTTGTTCACACCAAATGCAGACCAGATCTGCATGAGTTTCTGCACACGCAGTGCAGTGTGTTTTGCCGCGCTCTGGGCCGTTTTTGTAAAAAAAAAGAGCGTTTGCATGCGTTTTTGATGTGTTTGCGTGCGTTCCAGAGCAGGAAAAATAGGGCATATTGCAGTTTTTTTGCATGCTCTGTAACTGAACGCTGCGGTGTGAACCAGAGCCCAAAATGCCATTGGAATACATTGGACGCAGTTTTGATCCAGTCTGTAACTGCTCTGCTCTGCTCCTGGAACGCGTTTGGTGTGAACTAGCCCTTAGTCTCATGAGATCCCTCTCGCAGAATTGTTAACATTTTTGCACCCTTCGCAGTTCTTTCTAGTCTAGTTTTGATGACTGTAGCAGAAAACTGTATCATTAGATGTATCATTTGTCTCTGTGCCTCACAAAGCAATGGATCTAGGAGCATTCGAGGCTAAAAAAAAAAAGATTTTAAAAAAATAGGACAAATATTTGTTTTGGCAAAAGATTCACTGAGAGCTCAGAATAGAGCCTCTTATTTCAGTGACCACAAGGCAGAGGAACAAGTACCCTTTCCTTAAAATATACCACTATTAAAATGCCAGCACTCCTCTGACACTTCCATGGCTATAAAACACTCTGACTAATCATTTGCAGGACCAAGCTCTATTTTGGGCAATAAAATGAACATCCCTCTTGTGTTTTTGTTCAGCAGAGCTCCTGTGCTATTTGCGGCCATGGAAGACTGACTGTCCCTTACAGGCACGGTCACGTGACCATGCTACATCCATGCTGGAGACAGGCGCATGGTTCTAGGTTGAAATGCAACCTGTAATTCCAGTATTCCTGGGCTGTGCTCCTACTACCTTTGCTGTGGTCAGCTGTATCTCTGCCAGGAACCTTCTCTAATTATTAAAAACGTCTAGAGGAGTGCATTCCAAAAGAAGATCATTTTTTTAGGAAAGTGCAGAAAAGGCAGATTTTTAAATGGCTAAGCTGGCTTCATAGGCATGTGCTGACTAATGCCCGTTTTACAAGAGAAAATATACTTTAGCTGGGAGGTCAACTCGAAACTGGCATTTCAGTTTTGCATGGATGATGTCAGAGGATTCAGTCACTGGTTGGATCACATGGGGCTTCTGCAGAAGATCTCTACTGCCTCTGGCTGAGATAGGACAAGCATGCTGCAGAGCCTAGTTTACTGTTATGGGTTATTTTAGGCCGTCCCCTCCGCTCTTCACAAGACCTCCTGCTTTTCAGCTCCCTCATCAACTCCTCCCATGCTCGCCTCCATGACATCACTAGAGTCTCTCCCATCCTGTGGAACTCTCTACCCCAACCTGTCCATCTATCTCCCACTCTGACTGCCTTTAGGCTCATCTCTTCAGGGAAGCCTATCCCACCTCAACCTAACCACTGAACAATCACTTTCTCAAACAATCATCCCCACACAGCTACCTCCTCATGTATCACTTCCCCCTCCCTTTTAGATTGTAAGCCCTCACGGGCAGGGCCCTCCTTACCATCTTGTCTTGAATTGTATTGTGATTGTAATGTCTTCCTATATTATAAAGCGCTGCACAAACTGTTGGCGCTATATCAATACTATGTAATAATAATAATAATAGAGTAGAGAATGGTTCAAACTCCATCAGGGTTTGGGAAGATTTTTTTTTTTACTTCCTGTTCCAGAGATGAACGGAAATCTCTTCCAAAGTAAAGTAAATTCACTTTTAGAGAGCTGTTAGCAGAACAAATGTTACGATTGGAAAATTCCCTCTCTATTTTTGTTCTGATGACAACCCAAAACGTTGTATCTTCTTTCATTTTCAGTTACAGTTACAGTGGTCACCAGGAAAATAGAACCTTCCCGGTGGGGGCACATGAAAGCAATAGAAACCTAACAGAGTTTTTAACCCTTTCCTACTTTGTACAAAATGAAAAAGAAATTTGGTTAAGGGTGAAGCTTAGGTGTTAAGCTTATGTTAAGTGTTAAGGATTATGTTTTTTAAACCCTATGTCTAATCAAAATAAAAAATTATGCAAAACATGCACATACATAGGCGTTGTAAAATATAAAAAAAGTAAATCCGATGGTAATATTCACCTGCTCTCTGACATTTTCCCCTGCAGTAATTCAATTCCACCACTAGATATCCTTAGTCTTCCGGGTTGGATGGCACCCAGCATTATTTAACTAGGAAGACTGAGGACATACTGTGAGTGCAGACCTTCACCACTATGCCTTGCACTACAATATAGTTATGTTTTCCAGATATCTTCAAGATAATGCTTTTTCAGATGTCTTCAAGCTGGCCACGTGATTTGCAGGGTCCTATACATTTTTGCATCTTTGAGGTTCGCCCACCATCTTGAGAAGAGGAACCCTGCATATCATGTGATTAGCCTGAGGACATCTGATAAGGTAAGTATTAAAAAAAGCATAAAATACTTGGGGGGGCTCAGTGGAAGATCTAACCTTATTTTTCTATACTTGCAGCTTTTTGTGTGGAGAAATGTAATTCGGACATTCACTTAAAGTATTAGGTCTCTTTTGAAAATGTCAGACAACCAGCCATTCTGATCCAATGGCTTCAATACTTTGCACAGATCAAGAGCTCACTGGCTCCTTTCTGACTTTCTGATCTTCAAGCTTGTTCTTGGTCACGATTCAAAAAGTATTGAAGCAGGTCAGCAATGGACAACACCTCTATTTTTCTCACTACAAGTTTCTTTTAAAGCAATGTTCAGTATCCACAAGGGTTCTCTGGCGCTTGTCAGTGGCTTGTCACTCACTTCCGTATGTATACAGCTCAGGGGTGCGGCTCCTTAGATAGATCGGAAAGCTCTGACTAATATCAAAACAAAACACAGAAGAGTGCAGCAGAGGATGACGTGTTTCAAGGACACGCCCTCTTCATCCGAACTGATGAAGGGGGCATGCCCTTGAAACGCATCATTCGTTGCTGCCCCGTCTGCATTCTCGGCTATACCGACCAGGCTTTTTTTGTATTCACCTGGATTGTTCCTGTCTAAAACATTGCATGTGGAGACTGTACTTAGTGTATATGTTGCTACACTTGTGAGTAGTTTTCTATGATTGTTTTACACGAAATAAACATGTTGATATCGCACATGCAGGGGCGCTATTCTGTGTTTTCTTTTAAAGCAAACCTGTGCTCCCCTCTCTAGCGGTATTTACTACCTTCTCTCCCCTACAGTTCCAGAAAAGAAGGAAACTTCTGTGTATGTGACTCCCTTTATGTGACAGTGCTTGGGGATTGGTCCAGTGCTGTCACATGGAGGTGTGGCAGGTGTTGGAGGTAGGGCAGGAGGTGTTGAATCCTCAACAATGAGTAAGCCCTGCAGAGACGACTTGGAGCTTACATAAGATTTCCTTACATCGCTCCTGGCAGCTGAACTGAACAACGGGAGGAGAGATAAGTTTGTCCTGTAGGGGGCAGGGCTTTAAATAGAACCTGTTGTTTTGCCTTTTATCATTCTCTTTTCTGAGGTAATTGTAACTCTTAGATGAGGGCTTTTTGTTTTACCCTTTCCTGCACCTGCATCTAATTTGAACAAATCAAAGCACGAGCCATTTGAATAAATGTTTAATTTTTTTTTGTTTAAATGTTGATGAAATAATTAAGTCATTTAAAATAATGAACAAATATTTTTCAGTATTAATATTAATACAACATGTTTATTTCAGATATGTTTATAATTCCATCTCTCTGTGTTTATATAGCACAATGTCTGGAAACATCTTCTCTACTCTCCCTCCAGGGGTGTTTGATGAACTGCCTGGTTTGAAGTTTGTGTGAGTATTTAGAGTCATCCGCCTTCATATATAGAGTAATGAGATAAAATTTATTTATACTGAGCCTTTGCCTTGTGTACCTACAGGGACTTTTCTACGGAGTTCCTGACCTGTGACTGTCACCTTCGGTGGGTGGCTGCTTGGACCAAGAATGGCTCAGTTCAGATTTCTGACAGGACGTTTTGCTCGTACCCAAGTGCGCTCAGAGACAGGCCTTTGAGGAACCTGAAGGAAAGCCAGCTGACTTGTGGTACGTGTCCTCACTGAGGAACAGTGTGGCATTAGTGATCGCTTCATTTATTCTCATATAATAATTGATCATGTGACTAGTGATACTGACCTTCTCAGCTATCTGTCTCTTTTACTTCTCCTCTTTTATAATGGACAATGTGATATTAATGCTTTGTGCCTATGCTACAGAGGTGGACACATTTTTTGGTACCCTTACAGCTTTTTGAAACAATTCTTTATTCCTTCTGAAAAGTGATTACATTAAAAGGAGTAGGGTTGTGTATACCTGAAAGTGTGAAAAGAGATAAATGATTGCTTATTCTACAAAGATATTCTAAAATGGCCTTAATAGATGTATTGGTACCCCTAGAAAGATTATATATGATTGGATCATAGCAAAGTTTCAAGCTGTTTTCTGTAGTTAGTATTACACATGTCCTCAATCATGTAATGAGTCAGTCAGCCCATTTAAATGGAGAAAAGTATTCACTCTGCTGTTTGCTATCATCATGTGCATCACACTGACCTTGGACCAGAGAAAGCAAAGGAAAGATTTGTCTGAGATCAGAAAGAAAATTATAGACCAACGTGCCAAAGATAAAGGCTATAAATCAATCTTCAAGCAGCTTGATGTTCCTGTGACTATAGTTGCAAATATTATTAAGAAGTTTTAGCCAACCTTCCTGGATGTGGCTGCAAGAGGAACATTGACTCCAGATTGAACAGAAGAATGGTAGACAAAGAGCCAAGGAAAACTTCCAGAGATACCAGCTGAACTCCAAGGTCTGGGTACATCAGTGTCTGATCACACCATCTGTCACTTTCTGAGTGACAGTGGGCTCAAAGGAAGACTTCACTGTTGAAAGAAAAACATAAAAAAAGAAAGACTGGAATTTGTTAAAATGCAAATTGACAAGCTATGATGCTTCTGGGAGAATGTCCTTTGCAGAGCTGAGACAAAACCTAAGATTTTTGGCACATCACATCCACTCTATGTTCACAGGGAAAAAAATGAAGCATTCATAGAAAAGAACACCATACCTACTGTGAAACACGGAGGAGGCTCAGTTATGTTTTGGGGCTGCTTTGCTGGGTCTGACATGTGACATGTGACATGTGTGTTTGACCTTAGTCCGTGCAGGGTAAAATAAATCTCAAGACTATCAAGAATTTAGAGCAAAACATATCGCAGGTCATTGCTACCCAAATAGGATAATGACCCAAAACGCCCAGCTAAAGCACTCAGGACTGGCTAAGCACAAAACATTGGACTATTCTGAATTGGCCTTCTATGAGCCCTGATCTGAATCCTATATATGGAAAGTATTGAAACATGCAGTCTGGAGAAGGCACCCTTGTCACTAAAGGTTAGGTAACAAATTATAAGGTTAAGGGTCCCAACATGTTTGCCATGCCATTTTGTTTGTTTTATTATTTTAAATACTCAAAAAAAACTTGTTTAGCTTCAAGTCATTTCAGAGAAAATTGTGGGATTTTCTTTTTCATGGAAGGGTACCAACAAATTTGTCCACACCATTTATTTTTTTTGAACCCTGTAGACTCATTTCAAAGTGTTTACCCTTTAATTTCATTTTTTTTTTAGTGCAGTGACTTCTTAGTGTTTATCTAGCCTCCTCCAATGTGAAGCGTGGTTACCATACATCATTGTGTTTCAGATAGGCTATGACTAGGGCCAGAACGATACAGTGCCAGAGAGATGTCTGCTTCAAGCATTGCAAGGGGATGGGGTATAGTTGGTCCATGGGGTATAGTTGGTCCCACTCTTCCAGTGTAGTCTGCATGACTTGGTTTCAAACTTAACTTGGCTGTCTGTACTTTCAGCTGTACATCCAGAACTGCTAGTTTATAGCACAGAAACAGACTAATATTATTTACACCAAATTAGTGATTTTGGATGTACAATTGGCCAAGAGGAATACATGAGGAATAAACCCCTTGTTTTTGTAATTTGTGATGGAAGTTAGACATGTAGATGTCTTCTTTTTTAAGAAGACTCTACTTAGCCTCACACTGGTTTAGTGGAGGGCTTTTTGGTTTTACATTTTTTAGAGAGTTTATTACTAGGTGAATTTCACAATTATTTTCTCTTAACCAACCTCGTCTATGTGACCATGGTGCAGCTGAGAATCTGAGATGCACTCTCCACTTTTGCTAAGCAAAGGATGGATTATAATAAACTTGTTCAGTACTTCTTTGGCAGACCTGGGTACCTCTGTTAGTTGACAGTTTTGAAAATGTAATGACATACTGAGCATTACCAGTAAAAGGGTTGTCCTCAAAGCTGAACTCAATTAATTTGCATCAGTCGTGGCACTTGAGGTGTACTCTTCATCCACTGATGAATGAAACTTAGCTAACAGAGGTTACAAGAAATATAAGGCTGCAAGTGTTCTTAGTGACCTCATCATCAAGTAATATCCATTGTTTTTACTGCAGAAAGGACACCAGAACTTCACACCCACCAGCTTATACCATCCTTGCGGCAAGTTGTGTTTCAGGGTGACAGAATACCTATTCAGTGTACAGCAAGTTACTTGGGCAACGGCAGCCAAATCATCTGGTACCATAATGGAAAGCAGGTGGAGGAAGATGAAGAACAAGGCATTATCCTGGAGAAGACAATCGTTCATGACTGCACCTTTATCACAAGGTACTGGATAATTATGTAAAAAAGAAATCCAAACATGTAGAAAAAAAATCTTTTAATACACTTATGTTTTTGCTAAAATTTTTAAAGAGACCCTCTGGAGGGAAGGGGAACACACTACTGCAGATATAAAGTGCAGGCACCTAACTGCAGCAGTCTCCCAAACCTTGCTGTCATTGACCAATCTCAGGTTGTCTTGACAGTCAAGGCTCTGACACTTCCAAATGGTGCCGACCTTTGGCCACTACTATTTTCCTTGTGCACATTGCTGTTGGCTAATGAGGATGTCCATCGTAGTGATTGGCCGGTAGGAATGTGCAGCGGTCTATTCACGAAGCAGCCGAAGGATTTAGCCGTGGCTTCGGCTGATCCTTCAGCTAGCTTCGGCCCCAGGACCCCTATGGTTCAGTAGAACCGAAAGGCTGCTGTATTCACTATAGCCCGTACAGCTCCCGAAGTCGGCCAAGCGGCTCAGTCGAGCCGAAGGCATATGCTTCGGCTCAACTGTGCCGAGGTGAAAGCTGAAGCTGGCCGACAGCCTGCTTCTGACAGCTGCTTCTGACAGCCATGGGAAATACTTCAATTTCCCATGGCAATATCAGTCTGTGTGGGTTACTACCTTGTTGCACTTATTAGGCTTATTTGCAAAGACTGGTGCAAAGAGAACTAGTATGAAAGTGAAACAGTTGCACACAACAAACTGATTTGAAGGGCTAGCCCACCTTAAGCTGATATTTCGAGTTTTGGGAGATGCTGGATACTTGGACTACCTGACAATTTCTTATATCTCCCAGGGACTCTGTTGGTGAGATATCAGTACTTGAGCTCCAGGGTCTGTATACCTGTTGTGGACATTATTATGGGTCAGTCTCCCTGTTGATTTTTTTAATATTAGATTATGGAGAATGGGAATACCCCAAAACTTCCAGGCGAACAAGCACAAAGTCAGGAATTATGTCATGCTTGCTGTACTGTTAGAGTATCCAATACACACTATAACTATGATTAAAATACCACTTTGGGGCAAAATATAAAGATGTCCAAATGCTACAGTCACATAAAAAATGGCAAGCTATTTAAAGTAAATGGTTAATGCCAAAGTGTGTTATTATGAACAGGGAGTCAGCAACAGGTTATACATTGGTGCTGCAATCATGCATATAGATACTAGAAACTCCAGGAAGCGGTCAGCAAACTCCTGACAGAAATATAACCACTCTATTTCCCACTCTGGTTCCCCTGTAAGCACCAAGTGTGCCAACACTGAGCTTGTCTGCGCTCCACCTCCACATAAAACTTGAAAGCAAAGAGCCTCACTCCTTGAGTCCACCGAATCTCACGTTTATGCAGGTCCACACATCTTAGTCACATTCATATCCGCATGCTACTTCCAGCTGTCTCTAATGCGTTCCACCCATTGGGCTTAATCGTAGAGATCGCTACGGTTAAGCCCAATGGGTGAAACGTGTTAAAGGCAGCTGGAAGTAGGACCGAGATATGAATGTGACCAAGATATGAAGAATTGAATAAACATGAGATTCAGCAGACTCACGGAGTCCGGCTTTTTTTTTTCAAATTCAGGTAATGGCCAGACACAACTTGCAATTCAGGTAAACATGCCCCAGTTTAGAAGCAATACAAGGTGGAAGCAGAGATGAGATTCTAACTTTGAATTCCTCAGGAAGTTTTGGAATTTGCACAGGTTTTGTGGCTTTCAGGAATCCATGAAGATGTGTCAAAGGTATGTGCAGGCACTATTAGGTGCCTCTCAGAGGTGCCTCTCAGTTCATATAGTAAACAGATTACGTGAACAGAATTTAGACCTGAATTCTACAGTATTCATGTAATCTGTTTACGGCAGAAACTGAGATGTATACTTTGAGCATAACAGGGATGGGATGCTTGTGTCTAGGCAATGATACGCAGAGAATGAAGTGCAATATGGCTCCTTTCTTTATATGGTCATTTGCAGACCCAGTGGACTGGAGTTCCACTTTAATATGGAAATAGGTTACCAACAAATTATAACATTGCGTCTGCAAGTAGAGACTTGTGATATCACCTTCTGATAACCTAAAAAAAAAAAAATCCATCTGCAGGCTTTTTTTTTAACTTGCAAGTGCTTTCTGCCAGTGTCACATGAAATTCATGTATGCGTCATACTATGGGCTCATGTTTATGTTGTAGAATCAGGGAATGTAGGTCCAAGGCATGTTAAATTTGAGCCGAGGGAGAGCAGGAATGTCTTGTTTACACTCAATGTCTGCGTTTAAATTTAGCAAATGGCTCTGGTATTACGGCCCTGCATCCTGCTGACTCCAGCCCTGATAAACTGTTTATTCCTAGCTGGCAAATCAGCCGTTTCCTCTCAGCGTGAAGGCACATCCTGTGCGTTCAGGGACTCCGATCGGATGTACAATTCCCCTGCCAAGGTGCACCAAAAAACTGAGCAATTGACGGCAAATCATAGTCACTTGGCCCACCTAGTCTGTGCATGCTTCATTGTTACAGCACAGGCAAAATAACACTTGAAAATACACACGTGATACACACATTCTTGACCTGCTTCCAGTCCCCAAAAATGTGTATAAACTACTACAGCCTTCTGCTGTTCTCATGGCTAGTATTGACTCAATTTATTACAGGCTTAGACACTCATATAAAATCATGTATGCTTGTAGGGTATTATGGATAAAACTGTTTTGCTTATTTCTGAGTTTTCTAAACTCTTTAGAGAAATTTACTTTATTATTTCAAATTGAAATGAATGCCCCATCGCTGGCTCTGGGGGTCACAGCAGCCACTTCTGGTATGTGCACCTGCATGCTAACCATGGGTGCATGCCTTCTGGCAGTCACATAGCCAGCTCTGACAAACCTACATGTCCCTCGAAGCCATGCACAGGCATGCATCTGGAAAAGAACTTCACCTTCTATCCCTGCAGTATACAGTATTTTGAACCATTGATCAGATTTGTTTAATCCCAAAGCAAACCTGGGAAACATGTTGGCGACCATTCCTGAGCTCTTCGGCTAGTCATTTTGTTACTCTCGCTTCAATACATTCAGCTGTCGACTTGGTGTATATGCAACAGTTGAACTTTGGAGGAAATCTATCACAAGAGAAATATGTAAGCTTCCATTGGTGAACTGCTTCTTAAAATGCCAGTCCACTGGCTTCAGTACTCTTTTGTGTCACTGACCTGGAACATATGTAAGCGAGTGCATTCAGAATGAGATCAGAGTTCCTAATGTTCATACTGAACCCAGGGGGACATCTGGACAACTAGGTAAGTAAAACAATTTTAGAGGTATAGGTCAGCTATGGTAGCCCTCCATGATTCTTTCATGACAGGTCTTCCTTTTAGGAATTGTTGATGTTGCCCCACAGACACCAAGATGGCAGAATGTCAGATGGAAGTGGATTGGTGGGTGCAGCTGGGGTTCCTGCTCATCTTCATTGCTTTGTAAGCCATCTCTCCACCCTGGGCACTTCTACCATGTATAATAACAAGTAATAGAAATTATGTAGAAGTTTAAAAAGGAAAGACCTTTGACTGGTGTATGACGCCAGCATTAACGTTAGTCATGAATGGGTTAACTAACCCTGTTTTTGCAGACATAGTGCTAAAAGTACTTTCTGCAAGGCTTTAGAGCTCTGCTTAATTTGTTTTTTAAGGGCTTTTGCTGATGGCGAGACAAACATCTTTAGAAAACTTTAATCAAGATCAAATTTTCACTAATGCTCGGGATTAAGTCAATGTTTATGCCAACGCTGATTATTTTAAACCTCTAAAAACCGTGAAGGGTCTTTTTATGCTTTTTGTGCAAATAAGTTAATAGCACCTCCCTGTGGTGAACTAATGAATGCCATCTTCATACCACATAGAGTCATATAACACAGCAAGACTTGTGTAACTAGCCCTGTGCTAAGAGCAGTAACACAGAACAACTCATCAGCAATGACTTTTTAGTGTTCTGGTTGTTTTAACTTCGTTAAAAAGTAAATTCCGATTGGTTACTAGAGATTACCCCAGTTCACCTATCATTATTGATCTTTGCACTGTCTTATATGAGCCATATTTAATTTATTGAATGTGGCACTATCCCTACTTAATATTTTCTTATTAGCAAAACCACAATTGGTATCAGGATTGCTTCTACTTTATATAATGGCTCAAAAAAACAAATATGGCCAGATTATCATCCAGCAGATAAGGCTATAATGAGAAATATGATTAGTTACATGCCAGACCCTCCTTTTTGTATAGAGATTTCTTACCTATACCTATTATACAGTATATCGAAGTGAAGCTTAAAACCACTTTAAAAGAGAACTTCCCAAACTTTAAAGTATACCTGAATAGTAAACATTGTATAGCCACTTCAGATTAGTTTTTTTTTTGCCCAGCCCATGATCTCAGAATCCCAGTGTGCTCTGGTGTATTTTTTTGACTGCATCCTTGGTAAAGAGCTTGGTCCTACCTTCTGATCCTTGCACTCACTATTCACCAATAGGCAAATGCAGGGGGCAGGGCTAGTTTTACAAACCATCGAGCTTAGCATTCCAGCGAACCTGGTGTTCAGGGCCCTGGTGCCCAATTATTATTATTACACAGGATACAACAGTTTGTGCAGTGCTTTACAAAATGAAGGGAGACAGTACAGGTACAATACAATATCAATACAGGAGGGTTAGGAGAGCCCTGTTCGTAAGAGCTTACAATCTGTGGCCCACAGGCGACACACAGCACTTTGGTACTTGCTGTACAGTCCTTTGCAGACCCCAGCAGTGAGTAATGGAAGCATGTATTTGTAAAAAGGCTGTAATGAAAGTGATCTGTAGCATTGTCATGTAGCATGTGCCCAGTCTCTAACCATTTCCCGTAGTGTGTCTTCAGCCTCCAACCGACCCTTTTGCATGTGTGCAGTCTTTTATCACCTCTTATAGTGTGTCTGGAGTCTCTGACAGTCTTCTGTTGTATGCTAAATATTATGTGTGGC